AAGATATATATATATATATATATATATATATATATATCCACAACCCTTAGTGAAATTACAAAAATACTCTTGGGGGCGTTGCCCCCGCACCCCTAACCCACTTAATGAAACTCCCCCAATTGGACAAACGCTCACTCTTTCTACTTCGCTTGCTCGTTCTACTTCACTTACTCGTTCTGCTCCTCCGTTCCCACATCTGTCTCATATCTGATGTATGAGTTATACCTAACAATATGAAATGTGTTTATGTCAACAACTCAATGTTGTTTCAATATAAAAGTGAAATAAAGGATTGGGGTATTAAAAGGCCAGTTGATGAGTTTCAATATGATAAGTGGAATAAATGTGGACATGGGAGAAATAGAAATGTTCTTTGACAAACCAATAATAAGCACATATGTGGAAGTTTCATAATTAAAATTTGATCAAAATAACTCAAATGAAGCAAAGAATAACACTTTAACATTTAACGACATTAAAAATAGCTGAACTAAGAAAAAATATCTTTTTGAATGTACATGTGGTCGGTCGTGTGCATCGCACCATGTTGTTAGACGCATGACGAGATGTGATCCACATCATCATCTGCATGTGCGGATGAAAAAAATAATATTTTCTCCATCTCAAGAGTGAGAGAGAGATAGTTTCCCTTGTATTATATAATATGAACATCATCATCTACATGCACAAATGAAGAAAGTAATATTTTCTCCAACTCGAGAGTGAGAAAGAGATAGTTTGAGCTAAATGTTCATATTATATAAGAGAAAGATGTTGTGGTACATTTATAAAATAGAATGATGACGACGAAATGAAAAAATAGGGTTGAGGCAAGATTTAAAAATTATTGTTTATATTAATACATCATTTGAATCATATTTAAAAATTTTTATACAATTTTCTTAATTAATAATTTTAATTGATTATAAATCTTTATAGCCTTGTAGTCAATTAATTTTTTTTAAAATACTACTTTTATATATATATATACTTGATGAGTAGTATTTTGAGCTAGAACGAGCCGAACACGAATGAACACATCTTTGTTCGTGTTCGGCTCGTTAACTTATCGAACGAAATTAACGAGCCGAAAACGAGCTTCTTAATTATCTTATTTCCATTATGTTGGACTCAATAAAAAAATAAATCAAGAGTTTCATTGTGATTCAAATACTATAAGATTTTACATCATGTATCCATTCATTTGGAGTAATACATGGAATTTTTTTTTTTAGAAATTAAATAAATTCATTCAAATATTTAAAAAAATAAATGAGACATTTTCCTCCCTATTTTAAATATTCATAATATAAAAAAAATAATAGTTTTTTAAAATAGAGTTGCATGCAGGGCCCATTCACTATTACAATTTCTCTCACCATCATATCTTTTATCTAGCAAATTAGCATTTTCATGCATACCGCCCAATTCATATGTATTTACATATCAATCAACTACCTTTACCTTTTACACTTTCTTCGCTTTTAAAGAGCGTAATATTTATTTTCATGCATAAAAATGCTTATACATATATATAATCGGCTCGGTGAGATGAAACAAATGATATATCAAAATTAGTCTAATCTGAGTCTAACAAGCTCATTTTGAAGTCATCAAACTACTCTTAAAAATTTTCCGGATATATTTTGAAGGTCAAACGAATGTCTAATCGAGTGTCTCGATAAGATCCGACTCGATGAGATGAAGCAAATGATATATCAAAATTAGTCTAATCCGAGTCTAACAAGCTTATTTTGAAGTCATCAAACCACTCTTAAGAGTTTTCCGGATATATTTTGAAGGTCAAACGAATGTCTAATCGAGTGTCTCGATAAGATAAATCCAACGAGGCTAAGATTGTTCGATTTTGACATTGTTAATACACTCAAATAGTCAAATGTCCTTTAAACATTGTCTGATCGAACGAAACTCTCAGGACCATTTGATCAAAGTGGCGCATGTTTCTACATTAATTGCACATAGAACACTATAAATAAAACATTATCCATTTCATAAGAGGGAGGAGAGCTTGAAGCTTGAAGAAGAGCTTGAAGTTTTAAGGAGTTGAAGTTCGGCATGACTCCATCCATCGTCAACTTCAGCCGACCGCTGTTGATCTCCACCGATCGCCATCGACCGCCGTCCACTTATGAACAACGACATTAAAATTTGTAAGACTTTATAACATTTTCTCACGTGTGAGTCAAAGAATTTTTGTAATTATCAATTTATAGTGAATTTTTACAATCGGATCATACCCCGTTGTTTTTTTTATGGATTTTTCACGTAAAAACTCATGGTGTCACTACTCACAGTTTTTTTTTTATCTGAGCGTGTGTTGAATTCTCGCAACGCTAAGACGATAATCCATTACTCAATATATTGATGTTAGATACATAAATGTAAATCTTTATAAGACAAAAAATAATCGGAATACAAACATAAAATTCTAAATCGTCTACCTAATGGAATATCAAAATCTCTAAAATCTGACAAAATATTTAAAAATAAAATGTCTATAATCATAATAATATATAATATGTATTTTTCCTGACATAACACTTTACCTGTTAATGAAAAGGTGAATTTGACTATTAAAAAAAAAAGTTGATAATGAGTATTAATTTTTATAAAATTTTTGTAATTATGAAAATTTAGGGGGTTAGTTCTATAAATATAAAAATTTTATGTGCTGTATATGTAAAAACCCAGTCAATGTGCAATCATTTGAGAAACCCAACTATCCGTGTTCAAATTAAAAAGCTCCTCCGTACTCCATAGTTCCCTCCGCGCTCTCTCTCTCTCTCTCTCTCTCTCTCTCTCTCTAGTTCCCTCCGCGCTCCTTCTCTCTCTCTCTCTCTCTCTCTCTCTCTCTCTCTCTCTCTCTCTCTACACAGGAGGAACAGGGCAATAGCTCCAGAGAGCCGAGAATTGAAATCCAATCTGCGCTCTTCAATTTCTCAACTCAGATATTAGTTTGTACAAAGAGGAAGAATCATGGAAGGAGGCATACCCGATTCAGGTCCTTCAGCTTTCAGAGAGTGTTTCTCCCTCGCCTGGAAGAACCCTTACGTTCTCAGACTGGCCTTCTCTGCTGGGATCGGCGGACTTCTCTTCGGCTACGATACAGGTCGGTTTCCCCTTTTTAAATTTCACATCTATCGTCATTTCCTTAAGTTTATTTACTGATTGAGTTTTCGATGATTATTTATTTGCAGGGGTGATCTCCGGAGCATTGCTTTATATCAGAGATGATTTTTCGGAAGTCGACAGGAAGACATGGCTGCAGGTAATGAATATTGGAGACTTGTGTTCTTTGAATTTCTGTTTGTGTTATTCAATTTTAATTTCTTATTAAAACGTTTTTAAGACCTAGCTTTGCAGAAATAAGCTGATTGAGCAGTGAAAAGGGCTTTTTTATCGAAGCTCAAATTCATATGATTATTACCTGATTTCTGAAAAATTTTCATTTTAGAAAACTTTTGAAGTTTCAAAACCACCGAGATTGAATATATATATGGATAATTACATACAAACCAACTGAAACATTAATATTCACAAATTAAGCACCTATGTGATTTTTTTTTGAACTGCTGAACAAATGTATTTACGCGTGCCACGATCAAACTATTGAGAATTTGATAAAAATGGAAAATATGGGTAGGTTTTTTATCATGAATTTTGATATTTGAGTGGGACTTTGAATAATGGATGAAAGAGGGCGCTTGATGATTGATTTGTATATCACAAGTTTCGGGTGGTCTGTGTCTAATTGCCCATTATTTAAAAGAAAATATTACGTGCGGCTGGTCGTATGTCCGTATGTCAGTTTGAATGCGACCATGCTACGATTAATTGCACGATGGCCCATTCGGACCGTCGTCAGAATGTGCGTTTGTCGCACTTAATATTTGCTTTTTTTTAATTTATAAATATTGATCATGAAATATGCTAAATTTGTTTTGAGATGTGTGCAATACCTTATTTATAAATTAAAACTTATGTCATAAATAAAGTTAGTCAATAGATTAATGTTGGACTAATAATTGTAATGGGCTCTTACAATTGAGCTTCGATTGAATTAATGGAAATTTTGTGGTTTCGATGGTTCTTAGGTAATTAGTACAATATTATTAGGTGTTAGTGAGTCATTAGCGAGTCATTACATGATTTTTGTAAACAATTTATCTTTGTATTTTCTACATCATCGCTATCAGACGGTGTTTGGCTGCACCTAGTACTTAAGTTAATAGGATTTAGTAAATATGATAAATCTAGATTTATGAAATCCATATGCTTTAAATCCATAATAATGTTTGGTATAGTTAATATTAAATTTACTTAAATCTATTTAATCTGTTAGGTGTCCTATTTCAGGATTAAATTTTTTTGTGCACTAGTTCCGTTAAATTCATCTAAAAATCTGATTTTATAAATTCGAAGTGACATAAAAAAATTGACGGAGGGAAAGAAATTTGGATTTAGCAAATCTTTAGATAAATTTCATATTTTTTCATGTTTGGGTGAATTTATATTAAAATCGCACGCAAATCCTATTAATCCTACACTAACAAACATCCCCTTAGGGTTGCAACAATATATTAATTAAAAATTTGATCAGAATATTCAGACTCCTTATTTTCTGCCTAATTTATCTTGCCCATCAAATAAAAGCAAGAGTTTGAATCTTCTCAAACAACAAATTGTTCAATGTTGATGCCTTCAATTTACTCGGCACATAATTTTTTTATATTTATCACAGTAAAATGTTTGAATAGCAATATGAAACTTTGATATTGCTCCAAGTTTAAAATTCACCCTTCATTCTTCTAAAAAAATGATATTTTAGCTTACCTTGAATTCAAAATTCTCTTTTTGATCGCAGGAGAGTATAGTAAGCACTGCAATTGCAGGTGCAATCATAGGTGCAGCAATAGGTGGATGGGTAAATGATCAATTTGGAAGGAGAATTTCCCTCTTAGTTGCTGATTTCCTCTTCTTCATTGGAGCAGTCATCATGGCTGCTGCCAACGGCCCCATGCTTCTCATTGTAGGTCGTGTTTTTGTTGGTCTCGGTGTCGGAATGGCATCGATGACTTCTCCGCTTTATATATCAGAAGTTTCGCCTGCGAAAATCCGAGGAGCTCTTGTCAGCACCAATGGCTTCCTTATTACAGGAGGCCAGTTTCTATCCTACCTCATTAACTTGGCCTTTACAAAGGTGAGAATGATAAAACAACAAGAAACATAATCATAGTATTGCATTCTACTGAGTAAAGTGTCATAATAGTTTCTTGACTATTTACATTTGATCATTTTAGTCCAGAATCTATAAAAGAATCAATAAAAGTGATAAATTAGTTCTCATACTCTTTTAATATTGGCTGAAATAGTTCTCATGAAGGACTATTTTAACCCTTATTAAAAGAGTATGAGAACTAAATTTGCACTTTTAGAGACTATGTGGCTAAGGTGGACACCTACAAAGAGTCAGATGATCATTTTAACACTTTCCTCGCATTCTACTAGAGTAGACATACAAAATGGTCCTTAGATTTCTTAAGTGCTTTAATTTTATCCCAAATTTTTGAAGTGTTAAATTTAGTTTGTCAAATCTCTAAAATTTGACAAAATTGGTTCTGCCATCAACTTTGTCATAATAGAAATTGGTGGAATTTTAGGGTCAATCTCACTACTTAATATTAACTCAAAAGTTGACCCTGTAAAGTTATAAAAAGTTATCATAGAAAAACTCCCTCAACTAATTTAATTCAAAAATAAATAATAAATAAAGTTGATGGTAGGACCAAATTGATTGAAATTTAGTCAGGCAAGAGACAAATTGAACAACTTGAAAAAGTCTGGGATTAAAAAAAAACACTTTAAAAGTATAGGGACTATTTTAATAAATTACTCCGTTTTATTACTTAGGGTTTGTTTGGTTTGTTAAGAAGCAAATGCAATGAAAAGCAAAATTCTGTTTGGTTAAATTTATGAAAATGAATCATGATGCATCAATTTTATTTTGAAACAAACATAAAAATGTTACTTTTTAAACCTTGTAACACTAATTTTACTTTATTAGGCGCCAGGTACTTGGAGATGGATGCTTGGAATTGCTGGAGTACCAGCATTGCTGCAATTCATTTTAATGGCATATCTGCCGGAGTCTCCTCGTTGGCTTTACAGAAAGGTTCCTAATAACTAGATAGATTATAACAATCATATATGACAAATTGTAGTGCATTCTCTTTTGGTTCATTTGAGTAATTTATCAATAGAGGTGTACACGAGCTGAGCCTGAGTGACATCAAATGTTGTTCGGTCCCGTTTGTTAATTAATTAATCATGCCCAAATTTTTATTTGTGTTTGAGACTCACTAACTTGATGAGCTGAATATGAGCTATTTTCAAATATGTAGTTTACTAAATTTTACTCTCTCTCTCTCTCTCTCTCACACACACACAATTCAAGCATAATCACATCACATACACAGATATTCAAGCATAACCAAGCTATTGTTCAGCCAAACACAAATGCTTTGCTCGTAATTCGTTATATTCAAGCATAATCAAGCTATTATTTAACCAAACACAATTGTTTTGTTCGTGTTTCATTCATGAAATATACCAGCTTCCAAAAACCAGTTGAATTCAAGCTAATTATTAAGCCTGACACAGTCAAACATGAACCAAAAGCATTTTCGACGGCCCTACTTATAAAGATTGTTTATTTTCCATGAATTACAGGGAAAGGAGGAAGCAGCCACAACCATTCTTCACAAAATTTACCCAGCCAATGAAGCCGAAAATGAAATTCAAGAACTTAAGGAATCTGTTGAAGCTGAGATCAGGGAACAAGGCTCATCGGAGAAGATAAACATCCTAAAACTCATTAAAACGAAGACAGTTAGACGTGGACTCATCGCTGGTATTGGGCTTCAGGTATTCCAACAGTTTGTGGGAATAAACACAGTCATGTATTACAGCCCAACAATAGTTCAGTTGGCTGGATTTGCCTCAAATCAGATAGCGCTGGCGCTCTCACTTATAACATCTGGATTGAATGCTTTGGGGTCTATTGTCAGTATCTATTTCATAGATAGAACAGGAAGGAAGAAACTTCTCATTATTAGTTTGTGCGGAGTTATTCTTTCTCTTGGAGTTCTTTCGGCAGTTTTTCATCAAACTTCTACACATTCACCAGTTGTCGGTAAGGTGGAGACAGGACATTTTGGTAATTCTACCTGCCCAGCTTTTCAGTCTGTTTCAGCTACTTGGGATTGCATGAAGTGCTTGAAAGCTTCATCTCCTTCTTGTGGGTTTTGCGCCTCTTCCATCAACAAGGTAATAATCTGCCATAAGTACTTAAAACCTATGCTAAACTTTTTATTTTGGTTATAGTTTTGATGATTTTGATGGTGGGGCATTTACATACATACCACCCAAATCCTATGTATTTACATATGTAGCACCTAAAGTTTACCTTTTACTTTATATCATTAAAATCTTTTAGATCACATAAAAAATACTACCATTTTAACTTTTAAAAGGTGAAATACATCTTTTCATGAATAGATGGTATCAATTTAAAAAATGAAGTTTAGGTGCTAGATGTGTAAATACATAAGAATTGAGTGGTATGTATGTAAATTTTCCTTTGATGATTTGCATCAGCTACTTTTTATGAGTTTTGGGCAGTATTTTTTTGCTAAAGAAATTTAAAATGGTTTCAAAATATTATTTCAGGGTGTAGTTTCTTATTAAATTCAAAGTTTTGAAGAATTTCTTAATATACGAATTGATGGCTGATAGGATTCTCCGTAAAAATTAGGGCAGAAGAAATATCTTTTTACAAGGGACATCAAATACTCAAGATAAATAAAAGATGAGCACCTACAATGTGAGAAGCGGGCAATCACTCCCAATTCCTACAATTCGAGAGTCAGAAAATCTCTCCAAATCACTAACCCCTAAGATTCAAGCCTCAATCTCACGCATAACTCTAACCCTAAACATATTAGCCCTATTTATACTAAACAAAAATTAAATATAAAAGGCTAACTTGCCTTGGGTGCACAAAAGATATAAATACCCTCAGGCTTGACACCAATATAATAACACTCCCCTCCCAAAAAACACTTTATTCTTATGGTGCAAAAAAGTGGCGTCCCTCCTCCACCACAACTGTTTTTGTTTCATCATCCACCGTCTCTTCGTCACACACTATGAGAGCATGTAATGTTTGATCCTTACAACGGTGTCTTGAGGCAAACTTCTCATCTCACCGAAAACACAACCCTTTGTCTCGCTTCTCCCGAATCTATGTATCTGTAAGGTGTTTGATGGTTACTCCCAGTTGTGCCCATGAAGCTTGTCTTGTGAAACCTTTCTCTGGACTTCTACTGTTTGAACTTTTGGTATCGTTGTGGTTGTAGCAATTCAATATGATGTTTTTCCCGCGCTACTCATTATTATCTTCAACCAACTGTGCTAATTCCATAGTTTCTCCTAACTATTCTGATCTCAACAAGCGAAGTAATGCTCGAATCTTCAACCCTTTCATGAAGTTGTCTTCTAACACTTCTTCTGATATTCCCCTCAAACGACCAAATAACACCCCAAATTTCTTCTTATACTTCATGACGAATCTTTTCTGGACCAAAGCAAAAAAAAAAAAAAAAAGACTATGTAAATCCCCTTCCCCTAACACTTCTTCTGATATTCCCCTCAAACGACCAAATAACACCCCAAATTTCTTCTTATACTTCATGACGAATCTTTTTGCGACAAAAGAAAAAAAAAAAAAAAAATGCTTATGTAAATCCCCTTCCCTTGTGGTTCTAAAGCACCCCACCAATCAGTCCTTTTATTCTTCTCATGTTTGGATTGGTTGACATGTTCTCTCCATTGATACCATGGAAGATGCGTTACTTCCAAACACAAAGCCACCGCCATCATATTTCTTCATCCACCAGCCGTAACACTGTCATTGTCGGTCCCAAGTCCCGGATGCGAAAAGTGGAGGGTTGTTAGGTAGTTGAAAACCATATAAATTTTTTGTTGAAAAATCATGACATGAATCATTTAAATCATTGTGTAAATGTTAAGACATCCTCTGAAAGCGAGGTGCTATATGATCAAAATACAGTGAAAAATATACAAGTGGCACTACACCGACATTCGGGTGTAATATCAAATAAACAAGAAACTAATATAAATGATGTGGACAAAGATAATTGTCCATGAAACTAATATTAGGATAAAATTTTAAAATATAGGTACTCTCACATATAAATTAATGAAATTAGTAGATAGTATGACTCATAGGAAAATTAATATCTTATGTATTTAAGAAACCATAAATTAATGAAATTAGTAGATAGTATGGCTCATAGGAAAATTAACATCTTATGTATTTAAGAAACTAATGCCGCTTTTGTTTCTGCTTCTTCGTTGGCTTTTAAAACCTGCAGCTTTTGTTTCTGCTTCTTCGTTGGCTTTTAAAACCGTGTTCGTCTAAGGCGTGTTTTATTCAAGCAATCGGTCATTGGTTTTTAAAACCGCGGCGCACTTTAAGGCTTCCAAGTAACCGAATTGCTTCATTCGTGTCCGCGTTCTTATGTCTGAAATACCCAGACGCATTTGGAATAAATGGAGTAGGAATGCTCTATAGCTGATTATAGTGGTCCTAGTTGCAGAGTTTGTCATAAATGGTGTGTAGAATATACTCACATACTGTACAGCTAACCTATGCTAATTTAGGATTGTTTGAATTAGAACACGCTTCGGATTGGTTTCATGCAGAACTCCTTTCAACTCATGGTTCCAATGTTTCACTTAAAATATATAAATAAATAAAATAAGAAGGTTCCAGTGGTTTACCTTTTTTTTTAATTATTATAGGGCATCTACATACATATCAACCAATTCTAATGTACTTGCATGTCTAACACCTAAACTTCATTTTTTTTACATTTGTACCACACAAATCTTCATTCCAAATGAAAATACTAATATTTTAACTTTTAAATTGTGAAATACATCTTCTCACGTGTAGATAAGGTGGCACATATATAAAAATCGAAGTTTAGGTGTTAGGTATGTAAATACATAAGAATTAGCCGGTATATATGTAAAACTTACTTTTCTTTTTTTGTTGCAGCTTTATCCAGGAGCATGCCTGGAATCAAATGATGATGTGAAGCATGAATGCCATAAAGAAGGAAGGCTATGGTACACCAAAGGTTGCCCAAGCAAATTTGGCTGGATTGCAGTGGTTGGCTTAGCTCTTTACATAATTTTCTTCTCTCCAGGAATGGGTACTGTCCCATGGATAGTAAATTCTGAAATTTATCCTCTAAGATTTAGGGGAATATGTGGTGGAATTGCTGCTACAGCTAACTGGATCTCTAACCTTATTGTGGCTCAGTCATTTTTAACTCTTACACAGGCAATAGGAACATCTATGACTTTTATGATTTTTGGGATTATATCCGTTGTTGCTTTATTTTTCGTGCTGATTTGTGTGCCGGAGACGAAGGGTCTGCCGATCGAGGAGGTCGAAAACATGTTGGATAACAGAGATTTAAAGTTCAAGTTTTGGAGAAAAAGGTCTGTTAAGGCTAAACTTCTTGATGATTTGAAAAAGAGTTCTGATGTCTGATGTACCGTTTATAGTTGATTTTGAAGTTTGTACTCTATTATTATATCTAAGGGGTTTAGAAAGCTTTGTTGGTGTTCGGCTCGATCATTGGCATGAGTTCGATTGATTTTTATAAGTTTGCATATATGAGTTTAACACAAGCAAGACCTTATTTTATTGTTATCCTTATGTATAAAAAAGGGAAATTTACATATGTAACATATAATACTTATGCATTTACATGTCTCATGCCCAAACTTTCATATTTATATCTATAGCACCTTAATGCTTTAAACCCATGCATGAAAATATGTATTTTGATGTGGGTTGTTGATACAAACCCAAAATGTGAACGTGGGCAAGCGAAGGGGACACGATAGGCAGAGCAAAATTGTGTCTGTCGTGAAGCAGGTTCAGGATTCAACTCTAGCAGTCTTCTGATCTGGGAGCAGTTGCAATGAGATTTCTTGTTCTTTTTGGCTATCACAAATTCACTGGATCCATATTTCTTATTTATTTATTTCTAGTCACATTATTTCTAATAGGAGCGTAACGTGGGCAAGCGAAGGGAACACGATCTCCAGAGCAAAATTGTGTCTGGCGTGAAGCAAGTTCAGGATTCGACCCGAGCAATATTCTGATCTGGGAGCAGTTGCAATGGGATTTCTCTCTCTTTTTTGCTATCACAAATTCGGTGGACCCATATTTCTTTTTATTTATTTCTAGTTAGATTATTTCTATTAGGAGCCTATTAATGTATTGTATTTTTGTTGTTTTGGAGACTTTTGTTTGTTTTTAAGTTTTTGGAGATTATAGTCTTTGGTTTCTATCGTAAGGAGTGTTGTATTATTTTTCTTTTGGAAGTGGCGTGTTTGTATTTTGCTTAGGATTAGGGGGTGAACCTCATCATTGTCCATACTTGATGTTTTGTCACCTGCCTTGTTGTTTTCAGTAGGGACGCCCGTCAAACAGCTCAAATTTGTTGTCCAACACTAGATTTCATTATTTAGCCCCCTCAAAATGCTATTGATCCCACACATTTCATTCCTTTGTTATTCCCCAACCACCTAAACCCTAAATCCACTTCCCAAACACCTTCTAGTAGCCCTAAAGCGATATCATCAATTTAGAGCCAATCAAACTCTAAACTTTATGAATGTCTTTCTTGTTCTAAATTAAAATTAAAAAAAAAAGTTATTCCTGTCATACCTAAACAATTCCTACCGCAACTTCTAACCCTAACACTAAAATTTCAAAATCAGATCTTCCTACATCTGTAAAAAAAATTAGTTTGTCTTGCACCCTAATTATAATACGAATGACATGCCCAAATGAGCTTTTCATTATATATGATAGGTATTAATATTCATCCGCTAAGGTGTCCAACGGGTGAGTAGGTTACATGGCTTTCTTAAGGGTATAAAAGTCTTAAATCATCTCTGATCCATGTACAAGGCACTTCCTTATCGACAAACATTTGTAGTTTGTTTGCTCCTTGGGCGAGTCGCTTTCTAATGATGAATGGCATGGTCTATGTCTGATCGAGTTTTTGTAAGGCTTGGTTGTGTGTTGTTGGGTCAACCTTTTTTATAACCAAGTTCACTTATCTGGAAAAGTCTTTTCTTTTACGTGCACATCATAATATCACGTAGTTCTCCTTTTGATCTCATCATGCTTGAGGGTTGATTTGATACATTCTTCTTCTAATAAGTTGAGTGTGACCTCGACTTTTCTAGTCCCTTCTCTGAATGTGCATCTGAGCTATTTAATTTCATGTTATATTTCTTGAGAGTTTTGAAGGTTTCTTTTAAATTCTTTATATGTTACTCGGGTGTTTTACTTTTAAGGAGCATATCATCGACTTAGACTTCGATGTATTTTTTTTCTAATTCGTGAAGATAACATCCATCATTTTTTGATATGCGACGCCGGCGGCGTTCTATTATAACAAAAAACTCTCTAGTGATGAACACAATTTTTTTGAACATCTGTCTAGTGCATTTAATTTGGTGATACTCAAGGATGCTCATTATTTAATGGTCGGTCGTCACATCCAAAATTGCATTGATCTTGGGTAGAGGATATCTATACTTAAGGCAGGTTGTGTTGAGGCTGATGAACTCCACACACATCTGACATTTGTCATTCGCCTTCCAGACCATCACCACATTTACCACCCAGTTTAGTATTGGACCTCTTTGATATATTATGCTTCCAACAACTTCTACACCTCTCTGTTTCGTTATGCTAGTGTGATGGCTCCTCAGCCTCACCTTCTACTTGACAAGTCAACCGAGGGGTATATATTGAAGCGATGGCATGCTATGTTGGTGGAGACTCCCGACATCTTTTTGGCTGACCAAACAAAAACATCTTGGTACTCTCAAAGCATCAAGGTCGCTTCCTAGTTGGGCATCCAACAATAAGGGTTCCCGGTGCATGTTACAGACAACCCGTAGGTAGCAGGCGTGCGATTGCTCCAGATCCCTGCTGATGGCGATGATTTCTGTGTCACCAGAGAATTTCACTACCATGGGATGAGTCAAGATGACTGCCTTTTTAAATATTGAGTAGTGGTCGGCCAGAGATGTTATTTTATGTCACTGGCGAGTCGACCACGATGAAGTCCACCATGATATCAAACTCCACCCCCACACCCAAATGTGATGGGCAAAGTGAGAACATTCAGTGCTTCCTTCTTCTTCTTGGAGAAGCCATACAAAGGCTCAGATGTGGCTATCAAATGCTCGGTCTCAAGATTCATCTTGTTGAAAAAAGCTTTGAACGAGATGTTTGCCGACCTACCAGTGTAGATTAAGATGTTCTCAATTTGGAAGATGCTAATGAGGGGGGGGGGGGGGGGGGGGGGGGTAGGGGGGTGATGTCGATCACATCATTGTAAGGATTGCTCCTAGCAGATAAATCTTCATATCTAAATACGATAAGGGGATGGCACATGACCTGTTGTTGGGATAAGGTGGCCATGCATAACTTGTTGGAGCGAAGCCTTTTCAAGCGTCCTCGTCAGGAAGCTTCAATCATGTTTCCTTTGATGACTTTTGGGTTAACTCTCGTGATGTGTATGGTATGAGAGCATATTGACACATTATGGTCTCCTTCGATCAGGACCTTTCCTTATCCTTCAGTGACTGTCCTAGGCACAATGAACTCTTTCAATTTTTCGGCTATAATGAGTTATTTGATCATAGTTCGGAGGTATTGACATTCCTTTGTGTCATGCCCGTGGTCTCGGTGGTAAGGAAATACCTCTTCAGGTCTCAGGCATATTCTCCAGCTTTCATGGGGCGGGCTCCCAAAAGAAGTCTTTATTCTAGATGGCTTCCACCACATTTAACGTTCGGTTCAGAGAGCCCTTTTTTCGCCATCTAAACCCTCAAAATAATCAATTGGGGAATCTTATGAGTTGGAGGTTGCCTCTTTGAATAACGATCCACCTGGTGCTCTTGATTCTGCCCCCAACCCGCACTCGAGCATGCTGTATTTTTTGGTGCTTGCTTTTCTTGGTAAGGGTGAGAGTGATTTTCTTCATATCATGGCCACGTCAGTGGTCACAAGGGCTGTTTGGCTTCCACTTGCCCCTGCGAGAATTCCTCTTCAACATGGGGTGTTGTGGTGCGAGTTATACTCTTTAATTAATATATGATTGTTGGCAAGTTATTGCAACTCCGCCAACATCTTTGGATGTTGCAAACTCAACTCATAATAGCAGAGACCTTCTCCTTGCTCTTGTGTGAGGGTCACATGGGTGATTGTGGGCTCAGGGTTGGAAGTGGGTTATAAATGTGCACACAAACTGTGTCCTTGTCGTGGCAGTACTAATGAATGGGAGTTATTTTAGGGCTTTTTGTGTATCGCCGAACTACATTATAAACATTCTCTTGAATTCTACAAACGAGGTGATCGTACTAAGTAACAAGCTATTGAACCACTGAAGGGCAAATTTCTTTAGTGTCATGAAGAAGAGTTGACACTTTAGTGCATTTTTTTATCCTCACGATGCACACTACTAATTTAAAAGCGGAGTTATGATCATATGGGTTTGACTTTCCTTGGCAAGGTTCTTAGCTTGGGATTTTGAAGTGTTCATGTACCTCAAATTCATTGATCTATCGGGAAAAGGCATCCTCTAAAGAGTGGGTTACAAAGCATTCAAATGTCCTTAGTTGTCACAGACCTGGGGTACCGATCATGCCTAGGGTGCCGATCATGTGATATCGAGGCAATACATGTTGTTGCTCATGCTTAGAGTTGGCGACGAGGATCTTTCAGTGTCATCAACAAATCTTCTCTAAAATGCAGGAGCTACTGGCTGGGAAGGTGGAGCCATTCTTTGGGCAAACATTTCTCTGATCATCTTCAACACATGCTCCTTGAGTTGTTAAATTTGTTGGGTTACAAACTTTTCAGGTGCACTTCATATTGCATGTGGTTTCTCGGTGGCCTTCTTCTCCTTGTGTTACTCATCTTCTTGTTTGTGGCATGATTCATGCTTACTGCGCATTTGAATGATGTTGAACCCAGATTTTTCCTTAAATCACACCCAAGGAATAGAGAGTAAACTTAAGAGAGAGAGGGTGTGTGTGTGTTTTTGAGGAACGGGAAGAATTGTTGAGAGAAGAGAGAGAGAGAGAGAGAGAGAGAGAGAGAGAGAGAGAGAGAGAGAGAAAATGCTTGTATTGAAGGCCTTCTCTACATAATTGCTTTTTCTAGCCCCTTATTATATTTAATTTTCTCTATATTTAGAATGTCCAAGATCTTGATAAAATGATGCTTTCGGATCTATCCCGCCTCAGGTTCCAAGGCTCAGGCCTTTCATATTCCAAAAGTCAACTTTCAGTTGAATCGTTGGGATGCAGAGGAGGATGCATCCGAATTTGCATAATAGCCTTCCAATCATTTTTGATTTTCCATATTCAACTTTGGTTACCTATTGTTAGATGCTCTTTTTCCATAAATTTGGTTCCAAACAATTTGCTTTGATCACTCGGCTTCGTGCACTTGACATTAGTTACTCGACCTCGGGCATTTAACCTTGGTCACCCAACCATAGGCACTCAACCTTAGTCACTCGACATCAACCACTAAACTTTGTTTTGACTTCAAGCACTTAACCCTAGTCACTCGATCTTATCTTTTTTTCCTTTTTCAGGGCAATTTTCTGACGAGTGGTGAGCTCGAACCGTTGAATTCACAATAACATGGACTTTTCGATTAATAACAACATGAATATTTACTTTATGACTATAAATAAGTTTTAGGAGTTTCGAGTTTACGATTTAGTGTTAGGGATTGTGTTTTAATATTTAGCTGGTTCATGTCTTTTATGCTTAAACTCTTGGGGTAGGATTTATGCTTTATTATTTTTATGCTTTAGGGTTTATGACAAATGTTTAAGCGTTTAGGGTTTTCACGTACAAGGCTTAGGCCATTAGGCTTAGGGTTTAAAGGTTCGAGGTTTAAGATTTTTAGAGTCTAGGTCTAGGTTGTAGGGTTTAATGTTTTTTAATTTTGTGATTTTATATAGATTTAAAATTTTGGCTTTAGGGTTTAATTTTAGGCTTAAGATTTAGGGTTTAGAATTTTATAATTTATATTTTAAAATTTAATGTTTAGTAGTTTAAACCGACCAAACAGCTCCTAATTAGGGCTGTCAAAACGACTCATTGTTCGCGAACAGCTCGTGTTCAGCTCGTTAAGAAGCTCGTGTTCGACTCGTAATTTCGTTCGATAAGTTAACGAGCCGAACACGAACTAAGATGTGTTCGTTCCTGTTCGGGTCGTTTTGGCTCGAAATACTATTCATCTAGCTCATTTCATCTCGCCCCGCAAATAGATCTCTTTCTTCTACGAATTTCGTTCTCTGTGCCCCCTTTCTTCAAATCCCGTTTTCGTAGACGATGTCAGCCTCGTCGTTGTCCTTCTCAACGTCAATCCTTTCTTTTGGGCCGCGGGCGCCGGTGCTGGCGGGGGATATAGTATTTTTAAAAAATCTAATTGCTTACAAGACTACAAAGATTTATAATCCATTAAAATATTGATTAAGGAAATATAACAAAAATTATTAAATTTGATTCAAATAATGTTTTAATATAAATAATAATTTTTAAATCTTACTTAAATTATTATTATCTTATGATTATATCTCATGACTATATAATTAAGATTGTTAAAATGATTCTAAACACTGATATACTTTTTGCTCGAAATATAAACGAGCCGCCTAATGCTAAATAACACTACCAATCCTTCTGCAACTTCTCCCGTCCGGTCTCCACTTCTCCAATGGCATCCGCCCCCTCGAAGCTCTACTCAGGTGAGCTCATTTCATCTCGCCCCGCAAATAGCTCTCTTTCTTCTACGGATTTCGTTCTCTGTGCCCCCTTTCTTCAAATCCCGTTTTCGCAGACGATGTCAGCCTCGTTGCTGTCCTTCTCGACGTCAATCCTTTCTTTTGGGCCGCGAGCGCGGGCGCTGGCGGTGGAAACCACACCGCCGCTGCGCTCACCTTTGCAAAATTTCTCGACCATGTCAGGTCCTCCATCCCCTCTTTCTCTCTTCTTGAAGGATCGGAACCAGATAGTGAACTAACCCTAGACATTTCACACTTTGTTCATTTCAGGTGATTCCGTTTTTGAATTCTCTTCTGCTTATGAATCAGCTGAACCAAGTGGTTCTCATTGCGACTGGCATCAATTCGTGCGGCTACATCTACGATTCCGGCAGCAGCCTCGATGTAAGCGATAAGGTGTCGGAGGTTTCATCGGAGGTACTACGGAGGTTGGGGGAATTCGTCTACAAAGACCGAAGGGTTGTGAAAGGCGCTGAGAGTGCCATGGGCAGTAACGTGACTTCCCTGCTCTCTGGGTCGCTTTCTCTTGCTCTTTGCTATATACAGAAGGTTTTTAGGTCTGGCGCAATACATCCCCAGCCCAGAGTGTGTATCTCTATTCCTTCTCTACTCATTTTATTTGGCTCTCTTCTCTTTTGTTAGAACAATCTTAATATTTTGTTGTGTCAATTCAATTTCAATGCTATGCATGTTGTCTGGATTTATTATTGCTTGTTTCCTTTTTTTCTCCCCCGAGATTTGACTTTATCTACAAGTAACTGCGTCATGAAGTCAAAATCTCTTTGTAATGAGAATCTTGGATACGGCTTCTCCTGTATCTACTTTGACTGTATGAATTAAAATGTAACCTAATTGGATGAGGTTATGAGAATAGTGTAGGTACTATGAATATCAAGTTCGTTTGTATTGAAATATACATGGGAAAAATTGGCTAAGGATATTTTGATCAAATGTTTTATCAGGATAGATATTGAAACCACTGGATTTGCTTCAAGGTGAGTGCATTAAAAAATTGGACTTATTCCATATATATTGCAATTATCTTAAATAAATCAAAACACTTTTTCTAGTGCGAAAAAAATATTTTATTCGACATGGTTGTTAATGCGAGCATACCGTGTCATTGTTGTATAGTTAATATGTTGTACGAATGAATTAGGAGGGATTGAATTGGGTTTGTGATTTATTTCATACAAATGCTTAAGCTAAGTGTAGGCCAACCAAAATTATATTAACAACTACCAACATTTTTGAACTATTGAATGTGGAAGTTCCTAAGTACTTTTCTCTGCTCAAACCTTTTTTTTAAGTTAAATTTCCAGCTAAATCAATTGCCAATTCCCTAAATTCAAAGAAAAGTTGTTCGTATATACATCAAGGGTCTGTTTGGGACAACTGCAGCTTTTCTAGCTTATCCAGTTAAATAACTTATCCTGACAAGCTGCTGATCTGCAACTGATCTGGATAAACTGACTGACGTTTGGTTTGTGCGTTTGAAAACAGCTGATTTGCAGCTATTACTGGATAAATGACCATTCTGCTTCTATGCAGTTGTGTTGTTTGCAAGAGAACTGTCGTGGCTATATATTTGATAGTTTAGAAAAAAAATCCTATTTCCATGTCATATTCTATACATTTCATGCCATCATTTTAAGCTATAATCCCATCCAAATTCTTTAGAGCAACACAAGTATTTTTGAAAAATTTACCACCATTTCAGCCCACAAATAACTAGCATAAATATATATTAAGAAATGTCAGATGTAGAACCACTTCAACAATATACTTAGATGCTAAATATATATTGAAAAAAGTGCATAACCACTTCAAAAACAGAACAAGATGCTATCCTTACGAAAGCATTCTCTAGGCAATATGGTTGCTTAAAACTAATCAATTTTTTATGCATTAGCTATTCTTGTTGTGCAATGTTTCCAATTCTAGATGATAGCAAAATAACATGATGTTCGCAATATATATATATATATATATAATATACATACATACATATGCCTTATAAAAAATTAAAAGAAAAAAGGACTTACTTGAAACTGATTTACAAATACAATCTTTCCAAACTCTTTCGTGTTATATGCTGAAAAGTAAACTAGAGTTGCATAGGTATTTCTGGAGCCCATATCATAGAATATTACATGCCTAGAATTGTTTGAAATGTTTGTCAATGCCATACTGCAAGGCAGCACTAGAATGCTCATTAATAAGACAAAGCACATTGATTCCAACAAACTGTGCTGTTTGAAGCACCCCCCTCTGCTCCGTCTGTCCAAAATAAGGTGGAACGGAGATCACTGCATCCTTGATCAGCGACCTCGTGTGTGATTCCGCCAAGCCCATTTTGTATTGAAGGATCATCGCCAGCAACTCTTCCGTCGAGTACACATTCCTCCACGTCAAGCCCATTCTTTATTGAAGGACCTCATGTGTGATTCCGCCAAGCCCATCATTCTCTAGAATCCTCATCTGTTTTGAATCAGCTAGTCCTTTGTGATCCGATCGCCAATATCCTCCCCGTATGAAGCCATCATCGTCGTTCAACTATTGTTCCCACCCTCCACCACGCAGATACGGTTGCTGTCCTCCGGTTCTTCTCCTGCCCAACCCCCCTCATCTTTCACGTCGCCTCCCTCCCCATCTATATCGTCGGTCCCCACATCCTCCACCATGTTCTCTTCTCACCCAATACCTCTCTTCTTTCCCGCATCATCCCTTCCTGCGCGGCAAGAGCGATCGATCGAGTCAACAAAGATCGGAGGAGACGAGAGAAGAAGGGAACAAGAGTAAAAATCCGCTCGACTCGAATTCAAGACGCGGGTCGCAGGGTCGATCCCGCAGCCTCGTCTATTAAGAAACTTCGTCCCGCATTTTCGGGATACTGATCCAACGTGCGAACCAAAACCTTCGTTTAGTATTTTGAAATCTCCGACCGCGCAAATAAGCTCACCCAAACGCAACCTAAATCTAACAAATTTACACATGCACATGACATACAATTGACATTAGATAGTTTAGTTCAACATTGAGGGTCACATGAGAGTTTCTAGAATTTATTTTATTCAAGGAAGGAGATACCAGAGATCATGAAATTTCATTGTTCAGTGAAATCCAATCTAACCATATTCTTTTATATCAAATGTCGAGGAATGAATCACTTAAGTTGGAGTAGGGCTCTATAAATGATTAGCAACCCTTTTTTATTTAAAAGTTGCTAGTAGACTTTCTTAAAATTTCTTTCGAGGCACTCGCCCCAAGTATGCCTCAACATGTGTTGCCCAATAAGCACTTCAAAACTTAAATTTTTTTTAGACTGGGCAAGGTTTATGATTTTTTTTATTCAAGATGTACGTATATACGCTATAAGTGCACGCGGCGAACAACTCAAATTAACATAAACTTATTTTATAGTTTTTAATAGTAGGTTTTAAACTTTAAGGTTTATAGTTTAGACCAATTTAAAGATGGTGGATATGAGCTTTTATACTTTTTTTAAGCAATTTTTTTTAGATAAATTGTTTTATTTTAATCAAATTGTTTTCATTTTATTTTAATTCTTTTTAAGCCTTCTTTTAACTTCTTTTTTTTAGCATATTTTATTTCCAGTTTTTTTAAAATTTGATTGTTTGGTTTCCTTAAACTTTTTTAATTTTTTTTAATTTATTTATTTTTTAATTTGAATTGGTTTATTTTTTTAGTAGGATTTTGGCATATTGATGAATTATCTTCAAATTTGTGTTTTATTATTTTTAGTTCAAGGCCCATGCCCCACTTTTCTTTAAGGCTTATATCTCACTTCAATGAGGCTAAACACATTAGCTCTAAATTTTCATTTTTCTTAAAACTTGACAATTGGTGAGGTTTAAGAACTGATATGTTGACCTTTGAACATATTTTTTAAACTTTGGCGGACAATTTCATGCACTTTTTTGTGCTTTACCATTTTAATATTACAAATCTTACAAAAAAGCTTGGAACAACTCTACCATGGTGTGGTATGGTCATCGATTAACATATTTTAGAATTAACCAGTATTGCATTGTTTTGAAGAAGTTTGACTCCATGTTTGGAATTTTAGCTGTTTGATGTAAAATATTTCTACAATATCCAATGTTAAAGTGCAAGGATATTAGAAATTTCATTGAAACGACATTCTAATTGAGTTTTTTTGGTGTATATTGTATGACAAACTATCTATATGCGACACATCTTTTGAAGCAAGAAAATAGATAGAATAATTACTAAAACTTTTAGAAGATATGAGCGCTGGGATTAGTAGAATCATGAGGAGCATTTGATATTCAGTTTTAGTATGGGCGAATAATTATTAAAAAGAACTGGCGAAGGATAAAATGTTTCCATGCCTTTAATTTATTATAATGAAGGGGATATGACTGAAAATATAATTTTTAGAGTTAAAAGTGAGCGGTCAGAATGGAAAATTATTTACTACAAGATAGTATCATATGATAAATTTTACAAAATTACTATTACATCCCACAATATGGATGAGAAGTCAATGTTAGCTAAGTTGAGCATTTAAAAAAAGAGGAGATTTTAAGATGGAATTGTGGTAAAATTTGACGATAGATTTTGAAGTGATTATATTGGAGAGACAATGGGAGTTACACCTACTAATATTGAGCTAAAATTGGTTTGGACATGTATAATAGTAGGTAGAAGTTGAACCAGTAAGACTGATAGATAAGCCTAATTTGGAGTGATTAGTAAGAAAAAAGTGATAAAACCGAAGGCAACATGGATATAGTTTGTGAAAAATTTGCACAAAATAGAGCTAGCAACATATGCAATCCTTTAGTGGGAGTAAATGATGAATGAGGATCATAAAGTTGATCATAAATAGTTGCCATTAGGATAATTTTGATGATGTTGGCCATGACAAAGCGGAACCAAATTTGGTCAGTTGTGAAGCTCTAGAATCTTAACGTTCATATCTTACTAATAATATGTACTCAAAATCTATTGATCAGATTAAAGCTGTAAGATAAATCTGCAAGTTCTGATTATGTATTGCATGAGAACTTCTGATGCTATTGTTCACAAATATCATTAATTATTGGAGATTTTTAACCATGGGTCGTTCATTGAGTTTATTTGAGCAAGATGCTATCTTAGGAGAAGCTTCCGTTTTTTTTTCGTTAGCTGGAATTGCATTATCAAGCTTTCTTATTTAGGCTATTTTTTGGCTGTTACAAATCACGTATTTGATTAAAATTATATGTAGAGTATACGCACACGTAAATTTGCTTTTTTTTTTTGCTTTGATCTTGTTTTTTTACCAGGAAGAAAACATTTTATTGTTATTATGCCAAGCCTATTTCTTTTCCTTGATGATGTATGACATTTTTTTTATGAATATGTCTAAAATCTGTTGTTATTATTTATATTAATATGCACTACATATTGCAGCCTTCCAGCTAAGCCTCAATTTTTTTTTTTTTTTTTTTGGGTGTGAAGTAACTATCAAGGTCTCATGTTACATTCCCCATTTTATTCATTCATCACCTGGTGGTCTACGAACCTTTTTCTTAAGGATTTAATTTAATGTCAAGTACGTTTTATTTGCTCGAAAAGAAATGGCTATGCTGAGTACTGGATACTGTAATCAAATTGTAAGTAAACTGAATAATCTCCGAGCTTAGTGAGGCAAATTAAAATTCCTTTGTTTTCAATTCTGTTCTCTCCCAACAAATCTATGGTATAATTCATTTTTTGTTTCTAATTATGCTCGTTTTAATGTATGGCCATCTGGATTTGCGACACAGTTTTGAATTTTTTTGATGTATAGGACATTAATTTCCTTGCTATTGTGGAATTGAGCTCCGTGTTAATTGTTGAGTTTAAGTACTCCGAGCATCTATTTTTATGCATGGTACATGCTGCTCATCTCAACATTGCAAGCTGCACAATGCACATTGGTTTTGGTATTTTGCTATGCATGATGTCTATTGCTTTAATTTATGAATGATGTATTGCCTTTTCAGAGCTGGATTTTATTTTTGTAAGCTATATGATTAGATAATTATTTTATTGGTATCCCTTTGCACTAGAAAAATGAACCATCTGTGTGAGCTTTCTAACTCGAGCCTACATGTTGGGTTAACTTGCTTTCTTTGAAAAATGCACGGCATCATTACTTTTCAAATTTATTTCTTTACAGATTTCACTAAGTCCATTTTAAATGGACTCATTTAATTGTCATAGAAAAAGTTCACTTAATTTTTATTTCATTATTGTTGATTCATGTAATATAGGCCATCAATCTAACATGTTTTGACAGATTCTGTGCTTGCAGGCATCTCCAGATGGACCAGAGCAGTATGTTTCTAGCTTTTTTAAAATCATCTGTATCATTTGTTTTATGTGGTTCAACCATCTAGAGGTGATTTTGCAGATATGTTGCAGTGATGAATGCAATATTCTCAGCACAACGTTCCATGGTATCAAATACATACATTTTTATACGTCATCCTGTTATAGCTATGATTTAGAATTTTATTCCTGCTAAAGTGAGGTTAATTTTTTGTTTCACAAATGTTAATATATAATTCTGCTTATTTTAGGCTGTTTTTTTATCAAACTTCTTAGTTTAAGCAAAGCCTAACTGTCCACTTTTTTTTTTCTATTTTTATCAAACGTATTTGCTAGTTTTTTGTCTGGTAAAGCGGGGATATTTCTGTCTCATAAATGTTATGATTTCTGATCATGTTTGGTAGGTATTTTTAGGAAAATTAGTTTTGGTTGTTTCAGCAAAGCATAACTCTATCGCAGAATTGCCATCCTTCTAATCAAGCATCTGCAACCTTATATCATAGTATCCTTTTCTTTTGATGAAATGCACTTGTATCATTTGCATTTGAAAATGTAAGTTTCTTCGCAAATCAGAAACAGTTATGTATCCTGTGCTAAAGTTAAGCTCATGGGTTATGTGATAACTGATGAATAATTTGGAAGGCAATACCACAACTTTTTGACAGTAATTTATGGTATTCTCTTCATCAAATTCTAGCAATTTATAACTTGAGTTTTATTGTCTCATCTACTGCAGACACTATCTCATTTCCTTATTGTTTTGAAGTTTGATTACCAAGGATGTTCTATTCATGTCACAACTTATGTCCTGGAGTCGGTTGTTTTTGAAATATTGGTATGTAGTGTACCTTCATGTCATCAATATGACAATATCTGACATATCATCAAAGGTATCTGTCAAAAACATTTGAATTATTAGTATTATTTTTTGTATTGAAGTGGGTTACTTTTGTGGTTTTTTTCATGATTCAATTGACCTTTTTGAAATATTCTTTTTAATTTCATTTTCAGTTTATTATTTTCTTATCCTCTCATTGCATAAAAATGTAATATAAACAGAAGATGCTTATATATTTAGAAATCATCAATAAATATTGACAAGAAATTTTGACTATTTATCTATCTCCTCCTCTTCTTTTTCTCTCTTGGTGGATTCTCATTCTCTCCTTTCCCTTTTTATCTTGTTTGTATCATTTGGTATTAGATTCAAGTTCTATAAAAAAAATATTTTTATTGTCTACTTTAGGCAAGATATCTCAAATATTATTTGTTAATTCCAAACCTGCCAATGCTACAAGTAGATCAAACAACTCACTAGACTGCACACATGCTTGCTTATTAAAGCACTTAAGTGCTACATATATAAATTTCCTGCATGATGTTTCAAGAAAATTCACAAAGCAGGCTGTTCTTGGAGCTGATGCTTGATTTGTAGCATGATGCAAGTCTAGCTATCGAATGATCCTACAAAAATAGGCTTCCTGCATCATGGGCTCATCAAATATGCTGATCAATCTAGCATTTTGAAATATATCAAAATTGTTGCTCTTTTGCCTAAGAAGACTGTAGGGGATGTCGACTTGAGGTTTCGATGGATTAGTTGGAAGGAAAGTAACAAACTGTGAAAACTTGAAAAATCTAAAACTGGGAAGAAGCATAATGACAGAAAGGAAAAGATGGTGAATTCTTCTTTTGTGGAGAATATGCATCAACTAGGCAATGTAGCATGTTATCCCTCTATAATGCATCCAATGAGTCACAACTATCTGTTATTGATTGAAGCTCCTGTCTTCAATGATACGAATCCGCTGCACTTAAATTACGTACTAGCAAATCTTGCTGCATATGTGTTTGTTTTGTGTATCGAAGGCCTCTATACGTGCTTTTTTTAGTGTGATAGGGATGACAACGTCAGATTGTCAATTAAGTACCCGTACGTGATTTTCTTAGCGTGGTGAGGAAAGCCTATTATTATGTTCATTTTGATATTGGTTCAAAGATCTATGTACGCTTTAGCTAGCATGGTGGACAAAGACTTTAGGCCTTTGTGCAAACCACTCATATGCACTTTTTTTGCTTGGTGGTAAACCCTTAGGCAAGGGTGACAACAGGGGGTTGTTGAATTTTCGATTGAAAGAAGAGATGAATAGACAAAAAAAATCTTGTGACTTTGAACAAATATGTAAAATGTTTCAAGTAAAAGAAGTATGATGCAAGTAAGGAACCAATAGAACTTGAGCAGGACTAGAATACAGAATTGGACAATCTGGGACTCTATACCTTATGTCTAAGCATGAATGAAGCCTGCAAGGAACTCGTTGGCTTGCCAATGAGTATAAATTGGACCCTCTATTGAAGACTTGAATTGTATTACAAACCTCATTAAATGAATTAGAGAACCACAAAGAAGTTACAATGAATTTGAAAGTTCATATAGCAATGAGAACAAAACATATTGTAGACTTAAAGTGAAGTTATTTGCTAGAAGTTTCCCTGAAGATCCAAAATTTGAAAAATTGGGCGTAAAGCACTAAAATTGAAATTCATAATTCTGAATACACAATCAAGATTCCAATTCACTTAAATCGTCATTAAATCCGCAACACCTGCACAAACAGAGATAAGAATAAAACTTGATAAATTTATTTAAAACGTTGCATGCATTTTAATGATAAAATACTCGTTTAATCAACTGTTTTTTTGATAATTTTAGGTTTTGGACATATCTTGTAAGGAATTCGTCAACTCAGATACATTGAATCTAATTTTGTGCAAGTTGCCAAACTTGGGGTGAATTGAGGACTTGCACATGCGCAAATTTATTTTGACCTCAATTGCATCACCCTGAAGAACGTGCAATGCCTTAAGATTTAGACATGCACTAAAATTCATGAAGGTGCATCATATAATAATTCTGAAAAGGATGCATACTGCTAAAATCACTCTTCTGCATGTACTGCGATGTCCTTCTAAATACTAAACTTAGATTTTCAAAATGTTATGTGAGCCAGCATAAAATGATTTTAATTTGCCTTAATGTGCTCCAACTATCATGTTGAATGCTCAAGCGTACGTCGGAGAATGCTGCGTGTTCATAAAAGAAATTTATGCTAAATATAATCTTCCTTGAGAAATGTATAATTATTCTAAAAGTGCAAATATCTTGTATTTTACATAGTCGCTATTTTTTTAAAATTATATTTAATATGTCAATTTATTTATGTTTTGAACGGGCTACCTTGCCTATAGGTAAGGTCGTAAGTCCTACCTTTCTTTGATCACGTGCAGGGAATGAACTTGAAGAGACTGAGCCTCGACTAAGCCAATCTAATTCTACTCTTTGTAAGGATTGGAGTTCTTAGGATTGTGAATGTTTAAGTAACTAAAGTCAATCAAATTATATCATCAACATTCCAATCAATTCCTCAATGATGGACATATTCATCACATATCTTACTCAGAGGGGTCTATTCATAAAATTAAAATTTTAAATTATAAAATTCTAAAATTTTTTAGAAAATATACTATTTAGAAGTTAAGAGCAATTTCTATATATATCCGCAATAATTTGTTTAGGATGACAAATTTGAGGTTAACTCAAGCTCACAAGAGTGAATGTTATATCAAGTATACTATTACATCCATACTAAAAATAATTTGCACCAATAAAGATACGACTCTAGTTCTCTGTCCCCGTGGTTTGACCAATGAGCTCCACAAAAGGAATAATCATGACTAGAGATTCTAAACGAGCTCTTTAGCAAATAAGCTCTACTTTATTACTGTCACGACTGTCGCCCGTTTGTTCCTTAATGATTTTCTGCCCATTTGTGTTGTGAATCATATGATATACTTAATAAGATTTATAACCCTTGGGTAAATAATGTTGATTTAAATTTATCCTCTTAGACAAACATTCAGCCTAGGTCTACAAGATTCACTTGGACAAAGTTACCTGTTGTTGTTGATAATAAACCTTCTGCTAGGTTGTGTTAACTACTTCATTTGATTAAGCTGACCAGAGACCGCTATAGCTTGGGATGACATAATCATTTGATCTTGATCGAATTTGTCATCATTCCCCTCACTCTCCGCTTATAAGCTTACATTGATAAATTTTCACAAATAAAAATTTTAAATTTGTTGCTACTATACGCCAAGTTTAGTGATATCCTTCTTGTAGATAAGACTAGAGAGAGTTCAAGGGAAAAAAATTCAACTATGACGGTCAATTTTAGAGTCTAAAGATCTTTATTTGAGTAGATCTAAAGCTGAATACATGAAATATAATTTTAGTAGTATTAGATCTGGTTGTAGATTATAACAATGGGCGATCATGTCATTAAAAGGGGTGAACTTTTTAGATATCACAGGTCTATTATTAAAAGTGATGGTAGTATTTATGGGGAAGTTATTAGTAGAATTCAAGTTTGATGTTTGGCGTGGAGGAATGCATCATACCTATTGTGTGATAGAAAAGTGTTGTTCAAGCTAAGTGAAAAAAATGATGAGATGGTGGTGAGTCATGCAATGCTTTATGGCGTAGAGTATTGGTCTGTAAAAGAGAAACATAAACTAAATGTTGTTGAGATAAGAATGCTTAGGTGGATGAGTGACCATACACTTAGAGATAAAATGCAAAATGAATATATCCGTGACAGGGTTAGAGTAGCTCCAGTGACAGATCGGATTAAGCATCGATTATATGATGACCTAGTTGGGAGAGTGCTTTAAACTTGTGTTGTGAAAGCTTGAGGCATGTTGTATAAAAAATGATTTTAATTTTATTAGAATTAAATGAAAATACGATAGTCAAGGGACATAATGGGGAAAAATGATTCATGTAATCGACCCCACTTAAGGGGATAAAGGCTTGTTGTTGTTGTAAATATTGTGTTGCTACTATATGCTAAGTTTGAATATTTAGCATCTGGTGGCTAGCTTTAATCAAATGGGCTCTCCCATTATTGGGAAGGATAATTAACTATAGGAGTTTGTGCCTATGAGAAATCTCAAACCCCAAATTTTAAAGTCATTGCAAAATGAGGGTGAAATATATGGGTAATGCCTTATTTACTGTCACACTTGCCTTATGAATATTTGACTTGGAACCTCACATAAAACTTCCTCATTCATTTCTTTTGAGTGAGGTCAGGGTGTGAATTATTTGAGCCCACAATTTCTCGTTTATTGTTAAGGGAGTACCTTGTTGCATACTCTCTAGGATAGTGTTCTTAATTGGGAAGAATGACACAATGCACGATCAAGAGAATGCATCATGTCATTGATATTTGGCACATCATCAAAGTCTCTTGTGAATTTATTTTTTTTTGTGATAAAGATGATTCTTTAATTATTTGGTTTGTTTTTCATATTATTGTTTTCTTTTATGAAAGATCCCAAATTAATTTATGTTTTTTTTTTAATTTTCCTATTGTGTGATAGAAAAACACCGCTTAGACTGAAAAGAAAATTTCATAAGATGGTGGCGAGGCCAACAATGTTTTTTGGTGCAAAATGTCGGCCTTTAAATGAGAGCATAAAACTAAGATAAGTGTCACCGAGATGAGAATGCATGGATGAGTGGCTTTACACTTGAGACAAAATGCGAAATGAATATATCCGTGATAGGGTTCGTGTAGCTCAAATGACAGACAAAATTAGAGAGCCGTCTTAGATGTTTTGGTCACATTAAATGCTGACCATTTGATGATCCGGTTAAGAAAAGTAGAGGTAGACCTAGAAAGAGTTGGACATATTGTATAAAAAATGATCTTAATTTATGGGAATTAAATGAAAATATGACACTCAATAGGACACAATGGAGAAAAAGGATTCATGTAGCCGACCCCACTTAGCGGGATAAAGGCTTGTTGTTTTTGTTTTGTTTTTTTCTTTGGTTCTTCAAAAAAGTCTTATAGATAGAGGATGATTGTATATGTTAAAATCATCTTATGAATATTGAAAGATAGCAACATCTCTCTCTCTCTCTCAATCTCTGCCTTGATGGATTCTGATTCTTCTCCCTTTTCCCTCTACTTCGCGTTAAAACCCTGTATGCAATATCATAGGTATTTAAGATCTGCCTAGGAATTTTACATCTGGTAACTAAGTCTAGATTTTTATTTTACTTTTTATTTTTGGCCTCCATATTTTTCTGCAGGGAGTTGGTCATAAGCTAGAACATTTTAACTTCTGAAGCTTAACTTTTGTTTGCTTTTTCCTATTTTTCATTAGGATTATCTATGATTATCTTTGAATTTTTATATCTTTTTATTCTATTGGTCATAAGGATCGGAAATTATTTTTTATAAATTGCTATAGCATGCTTGTGTTCTTTACTAACTTCCTCATATTTTAGTACTTAACTAAGGAATCTCACAGGTGCCAATTGATTCATGTGTGGTCGGAGTGCAACATTCTGCATTTTTGCAGCAGGTAATATTGCTACAATTATTGAAGTTCCTTATACTATTTTTTTTTCCTCGTTTATTCCTTCATTTTCTGTATATATTTAAGCAGATTATGTTTATAGGCTTCATATATTACTGGTGGAATTTATCTGAAGCCTCCACAATTAGATGGTCTATTTCAATATCTCGCAGTAAGCTTCTAATTTTCATTTGTATTAACAATATTCTAAAGGAAATTATCGATAGCTGAAAAAATAAAGCACAATTAAACAACGCATCAACAACTTATTACAAATTCCTTTTTGTGAATTGGAGTTTTGTTTTGAATTTGAAGGCTTGTTTTCTTTGAAATGTTGTATTATAACCAGTTTTACATCAATGGATGACCTCCAAACAAAAAATGAATGATGTGTTAATCTTATAAATACGGGTGGGGGATCAATTGCATTGCAACTATGCTAAGAGCAACATAAAGGATTCATTTGAATGATACTATTATGTTGTCTTTTGTTAATTTCAATTATTATCTCACGAATATGAATCTCTCATTTCATTTATAACATTGTTTAGCTATTATTCACTTGCAGTTGAAGATACGTTCTTTCCTGGCAAATTGTAGTACAACTCTAAGCAACATTATGTTAATTGGACGTTCCTTTAGAGATTATGTCCATGACACTTTTCTTAGAAATGTTGTGTTACATTTGATTCATGACATGCCGACTGCTTTTTTCCTCGTAGCACTACATGCTCTTGTTGTCCCCAAAAATGTTTTGCAATTTATGGTATAATATTGGTCTAACTGGATATGTTTGTCTCTTCTCTTTCGACTCGTTTTACTAATTATAGATGAATGATTGCATGCAGGCAGTATTTGCAGCTGACTTGCAATCACGCTGTTTTTTGCAACTTCCAAAACCTACTGGGGTGGATTTTCGGGCCTCGTATGTGTGTTTGTGCTTTTTAATCATTTAATTTTCTTTATTTTTCATATGATGTTCTCTTTTTAAATTAATCGTATATCTAAGAAGTGTTGTGTGGGGACCTAATCAGATTGTGGTGACAAAAAGACGGATTTGATAGGGATAAGCTTGAATGCAACCTGTACATGGAGTGCTACAACTTAATCTAGTTTGGGTAGAAGTACTTAATGGCTTGTTAAGCCTAAAATTAAGATTTGCTAGATGGAATTTAAAGATATTTAAGGGCACGGTGAGAATCACTTTTTACAATGATTATAAAGAATTAATTTTTGTTTGTTTTCAATAATTTAAGTGGAATAAGAAAAAAAATATATGTTGTTGGAGAAGATTAAAAGCTATCATGTTGTATGGCGTAATAAAAGGAATATGGTAGGGATAGTAGTGTTAAAAGAGATGAAAGATTCAATTATTAAGGTAATAGAGTTTGTGATAATATGATTTTGTTAGTTAGGTATTGTTTAGGGCTGTGAATTTAGCTCAAAGATCGTTAATCGCTCGAAGATTAATTTGAATTTTGGCTTGGATTGATATCGGATCGAAATAAATGAGCCGAGCTACGAGCCAAAATTTTGGATCTAGTTTTTTTTCAAGCCGACCCCTGCTCAGCTCGAAATTAGATCATTAATAGTGTATGAATATGAATTTAGCTCGAAGCTTGTTAACCACTCGAAAATTGATTCGAATTTTGGCTCTAATCGAGATCAAATCGAAATAAAGGAGCCGAGCTACGAGCCAAAATTTTGGATCTAATTTTTTTGTGCCAACCCAAACTCCGCTCGAAATCGTATTGTTAACAACCCTAGTATTGGTTGAGATATTAATGCGATTAGTGTTTATTCTTCTTATGTTGAATTGGAAGCATGACATTTAAAAGCATTTTACAAACGAGCGAAGTGCATGATGCTCTTTTCACTTTGCTATTGCGCGGTGTTTAGGCGTGAAGTGAGCTTCAAAACACTAGAGTGAGCGAAGTGAAGCGAGCCATCGGTCCTGGCTAAATACAAGAGAAATGATGGGTTGTTCAAAGGGTTTATGGTTGTTCAATTCTTTGGTTCGGAAGAGTGAGTCGAGAGAGTGCAACAAATACCTCTTTGGTCTCACTTTCTAGACGAGCACAAAGGAGCTCTTCAATTTTGGCATGGAGGAATGAACGAGATTAGGCTGCGGTGACTTATGCCTAGGGTATGTCGTGTAATTAGGGCTGTAAACGAGCCGAGTCTGAGCGAGCTCAGGGTCTGCTCGTGTTCGAAATCAGCTCGTGTTCGAAATCGATTGTGAAGGGTGTGTTCTTGTTCGACTCAAAATTGGAGGAATCAGAAGAAGATGTCGAGGAAGAGGAAGAGGAAGAGGAAGAACAAACCCTAAGGGAAGAAGATGTCGAGGAAGAGGAAGAACAAACCCTAACCTCTCCCGCAAGCTCTCGCCGTCGAAACCATTTCGCGATTTTGAGAGGAGAAGGAGATGACTCAGAAGAGGAGGAGAGCCCAAACCCTAAGCTCTCGCAGCCGAACGCCTTTCGCGATTGAGAGGAAGGAGAAGAGTCGGAAGAGAATAGGCAGCTGAACCCGAGAATCGCTGGTCGTGGCTTAGAAGTAACGAGGTAAGGTTTTTTTAATTTTATACTTATATATTATATTATATTAAATATATAACTTATATTGTATTATTATATAATATTTATATAAGTAATATTTATTAATAATTCGTTATATATTATAATTTATAGGATTTAATTTTTTAAAATTTGATAAGTTTTTTAATTTTAAATAGTTTTAATTAATTACAATTTATAATATTTAATTTTATGAATATGTATTATATGTATGTGTATATTTATTTATTTATTTATTTTCGAGTCAATTCGGGCCAAACACGAGCAAACAAATGTTTGGTCGTGTCCGGCTCGTTTATATTTCAAGCTTACAAATTTGTTCCTGTTCAGCTCGTTAAGCTTAACGAACGAGCTGAGCACGAGTTGCTTAACGAGCCGGACATGAGCTGTTCGCGAACAACGAGTCAAATTGACAGCCCTACGTGTGACCGAGCGACCGAGCATGCCAAGTGATCATGCGAGAGGAAGCAATCAAGATATTCCTTAACGTCGTGCGATGGAACGAGAGATGAAGCAACCTAACATGTCGTGTGATCTTCCCCTTCTTCTTTGACTCAGCAATTCGACTCTTTAAACAACAGGTAAACCGTAAGCTGTGACTCAACTTCAAAGCAACAACTCTATTATATTTACACACATCACACGATTCTTATATATTTGCCGTTTGACTCACAACAGATAAACAGTAAACCATAAATGTGTACACACACGCCACACATTTCTTATATATTTGCATGTCTAATATTTAATTTTTAAATAAAAAATATCATTATTACTTATTTTTAAAATGTAAAATACACATTTTATGTAATTGTTATGAGGTTAAAATTTTATAAATAGTATATATGAAATTTAAGGTCTTAGATTTATAAATACATGGGAATGTATGGTAGGTATGCAAAGTAAAAAAAAAATATTAAACAATTCATATCGATAAATATTAAAATTTTTTATTAAGATAAATTAATTCATCGTGCTATTTTTTATTTCTAGTTTTCTTAAGTTTGATAATTTATTTCATAAAACATAATCTTATCGATGTGAATTGTTTTATAATTTTTTCATTCAAATTCCCATCTGTCTTTGGGCATTTTAAAGAGCTCAGTCTGTGTGAGTTGAACTTGTATTAAGGTTTACATGTCAACCCCCCAAAATTTGCAAAATATAAAAAGCTTTAGAGTAAAATGCAAAGCTGTGTGATCCAAAAGATAAGCATAAAATAAGTACAAATTTGTAATAATAAAAATTTAGAGAAATTTTAAAAAATAGCTATAGAGACTTGTAACCCATTTTCAAAAGAATGAATGGGCAATACAATAATGCGTAGATCTACCCGCCTTTGTGAAGCATAAACAATAGACTACTAAATGCCTCTGTTTTGTGAGGGATGATAAAAAATAAAAACAATAATAAATTAATTACACTTAAAAAATAGTGTTATATGTTATTTTTAAATTTAAATACAATGCTATTAACACTATTATATTTAAATTTTAAATACATTATATGTTGAACTCATAAATAATAAATATATAATAAATTTATCAAATGAATGTAAAACCCTCTTAAATTTATGCTTTGTATCTGAATCTCAATAAGATCCACAATATTTTCATTAGGGATATTCTTTGTTACTGTGTAAATTGTAATTAATAATTTTTTTCTATGAAAAGTTAATTTAGGTATGGTTGATTCCAACATAAGGAGAAAAGATCCAACTTGGAAATGTACAAAATTCAAATTTGACTCCAACACTTTGTCATATTTGTATTTATTATGATAAGCAGACGAATCTAAGTATATCTAAAGCCACGAGTACCTTATTTGTCATTGCAATACATCAAAAAAATTAATGTTATTAAGTGTAAGAAAATATTTTTAGATGTAAAAGAAATGCTACTTGATTTTCTAGGAGCAAGCAAATTGAAAGTAGATAATATACTATTTTTATTGGCGGGTAAAATTAATTTTGGACAAGCTGAAAGAAGAGAGTCTAAAGGCCTTCGTTTGAGTTGATCTCTAAAACTGCACACTTCGATATATCTGGTCTATTGTTTAAAATAATAGTAGCTCTAGTGGCAGAATTGTAACTATGGATGATCAAATCATTAAAAGGTGGGAACATTTTTGATATATCGAAGTCTATTGTTTAAAGTAATGGTGATATAGATGGGGATGCTATTAGTATAATTCAAGTTGATTGGTTGAAGTGGAGGACTACATCAGGCCTATTGTGTGATAGAAAAGTACCACTTAGATTGAAAGGAAAATTTTATAAGATGATGGTGAGACCTGCAATGCTTTATGACACAGAATTTTGGTCTTTAAAAGTGAAGCACAGAACAAAGTTAAGTGTTGTTAAGATGAAAATGCTTAGGCGGATGCGTGGCTTGACACTTAGAGACAAAATGCGAAATGAATTTATCCGTCATAGGTTTGATGTAGCTTCAGTGGTAGACAAGATTAGAGAGAGTCATCTTAAATGGTTTTTCACATCAAGCATCAATCTTCTAATGATCGGGTTACGAGAGTGGATGCTTTGGATTTGATTTATGTTAGGAAAGTCAAAGATAGACCTAAAAAGACTGGGACATATTTTGTAAAAAATGATTTTACACATTAGAATTACATGAAAATATTACACTCAACAGGACACAATGGAGAAAAATGATTCATGTTGCCGTCCCCACTTTGTTGGATAAAAGCTTGTTGTTGTAATCAGTAAGAAGCGATAAATCTCAGCAACCACAGGGAAGTTTAAAATGATCTACAAAAATTATGGAGCAGAACATAACACGAACATCTTAGATCACATTTAGTACGGACAAATGAAAAATGAGCATTCATAAAGCGACCTCAATAGTTGGGATAATTCTAATTATAATGATGATGGGTTTATTATATAGCATTATAGTATTAGCACATGGGCCAACTTGTTAAGATAATTCATCAAATGCACTGCTTGGTTGCATGCTGCAAATATGTTAAAAAAAAAAAAAAAACTTAGAACTTAAACATGGAAACCAACTGATCTTTCTTAATTTTTTGCTAAATCTTTGTTTTCTCAACAAATGTGAACTTTATTTAAACTATCTATTGATATCTGAATACCGCAGCTCAACTTGAAATTCTTTCACAACCTCAACCATTGTAACTGTTGTGCATTTTGAAATTATAAATTTGATGCCTTAATTTTACACTCATTGATTACAGATAAATGGATCCGCGTTTTTCTCCCTGCATTTAACTGCATAGCAGTATGTATTGTTTGCTTTTTAAACTTTTCAGCTCTGCATTGGTTCTAGATGCTTTTGCCACAAGAAGACTATTGACATGGGATATGTCTGCTCAATTTGCCTGTCCATATTCTGCCAACATCACAGAAAGTGCTCAACCTGTGGGTTAGTTGGCTTAACTTTTACAAAATCTCCCAATTTGAACCTTCTCCATTTCTTATAATAAGCTCAAAAGTAAGTAAAGGCTTCTTCTTGCTATCATATAATAGCCCCTCTAGAAAGTTAAGCTTAGTCTGTGATACCGGCCAAAGGAGGGTGGTTATTGATTTCAGCTAGAACAATAGAAAGAACTAAGAAAAAACAGTAAATAACATGAAGAACGAGATTATCGTTAAACACTAAGTGGGTGCCGATCCAGGATACAACTGCAAGGCAAGATTTAAATGGACCGAAACCTCCCAATTCCCAGCCTACACAATACAGTCCTTATTTATAATGCTAGACTCTCCTAATTACAAATATGTCATCCTAAACATAAAAACATAAATAATAAAATAAAACACACCGCGTCAGTCTGGCTCTGTCATGGTCTAATCCTGGTTTTTTTGGAACTCGGACATTGCATGAAATGGCTTGAAACTGGTACTACTTTTGTCTATGTACACAAATCTATGAAATCCAGTTGAATGTGGTTTTATTTTCTATTACATGTATCAATAGTTGGAAGCTCTTAAAATTCATCATTTTACATGGTAGCCCTGAGAAATTCCCACTAGTTGTTATTTTACTTAAAAAATTCATCATTTCAAACTGAGGGCCTGCTTTTAAGCTTAAACATAGGACATACTTTTCAACTCTCTCAACTTTTAAATAATTACAGTTTTCTGCCAATCGTTAAATAATAATATTGTTTCTGCAATTCAAGCTGAAACATTCACCAGGAAGCAATATCAAACCTAAATCCTGAACTCTTTCAAAATGCCTTTTTTTTCCCTTCCCAACTTATCAATATCTTTGATAAAGCATGAAAGCCAAGCTACAGAAACAGCTTTTCCCGCTACAAACATGGCCTTAAGTACATACTCTACCTTCCATTGCTCCGAGAGCACTGAAATTATAATGAAAAATTAGGTTTGGCTCATTATTCTGGATACTAACATGCCAATCCTCTGCCATGTTCAGGTCTGAATTCAATCAGGCACCTCTACCCACTAATTCAACATCAGAAACGATGAGGTAAGCTCAAGAATAAGATCAGAGCTCTAATTTCTAGCGTTGAATATATATATATATTGCGAAACTGTCCATTGAGATATAGGAGATGAAACTTTGGAACTAATTTTAAGGCGTTACATAAATCAGTTTTGGAAGATTTACATCATGCCTGACAATTCCTATGTATTTACATTTCTATTTCTTTTGACTTTAATTTTTACCATTATACCATTTAGGCTCGAAAAGTTGTGTTTTTTTCCCCCCTTTAATAGTTGGTAGCAAAAGTCGTATTTTTGATGTGCTACGAACGATTTGAGTGTTGTGAATATAAAAATTGAAGTTTTAGAGGTTTGTTATGTAAATACAAAAGAATTGTGTCGTATGTATGTGAATGTTCGTGATTTCTTAGACAATCTACGGTGATTTATGTGTGTATGTTATTTTATTTTGTTCCTCAATTCTTCGTAATTTATTTAAATACATGCCGCACATTTCTCCTGTATTCTTAATTTGTTTCGGAATTCCGAGACTTTGTTCATTTGATAGCTACGTTCTCTTATTTAAATACATGCCGCACATTTCTCCTGTATT